CACCACCATCATCATCAACACCATCAGCATCATCAGCACCAGCACCGTCATCATCACCGTCATCAGCATCAGCAGCATCGTCATCGGCATCGCCATCGTCATCGCCATCGGCATTCTCACCATCATCGTTTTAACTGCGCCAGCATCATCACCACCATCGCCACCGTCATCAGCATCATCGTCATCAGCATCAGCATCGGCATCGTCATCGGAAAAAAAACATCACCAGCAGCACCACCAGCATCAGAAGCAGCATCAGCAACCGCAGCATCGGCGGCAGCAGCATCGGCGGCAGCAGCAGCAGCAGCATCAGCAGCATCGCCATCGCCTTCAACATCAGCAGCAGCAGCAGCATCATAAACACCACCATCATCATAATCATCGTCGTAATCATCAGCAGCAGCATCACCACCGTCGTCGACATTACCAAGCTCACCGTCGGCATCGTCGCCATCATCACCATGATCATCAGCACCACCAGCATCATCATCATAAGTGTCATCATCACCAGCAGCAGCAACATTGTCACCACCGTCACCGTCGCAAACGCCGTTGTCGTCGTCATGATCGGCATCGACGCCAGTGCCATCACCATGACAATCAGCATCACCATCATTATCCTCCGCCTCACCATCATCATCACCACCAAGAGCATAAGCATCACCAACGTCATCGGCATCGCCTTCACCAGCATCATCAGCAACATCGCCATCGTCATTGCCATCGACATCAGCTTCAGCACCAGCATCAGCACAACACCGTCATCAGCACGTGTATATCATCACCGCTGTCATCGTCGTAATCAGCATCGCCGTCGTCACCGTCGCTATCATCATTACCATGATCACTAACAGCAGCATCATCATCATCAGCAGCAGAAATTCCTCCCCAACATCATCATCATCATTCCAATCACCATCAGCATCATCAAAAGCATCGGCATCGTCGTTGCCATCGCCGCCGCCGTCGCCGTCGTTGTCGGCGTTGTCGGCATCGTCATCGTCGTGTGCGCCGTTGCCGTCATCACCATCATCATCAACATCATCACCCACATATTCATCAAAATCAGCACCACCACCATCATCGCCACCAGCATCATCACCACGCCAATCAGCATCAGCATCATCATCATCATCAACAACATCGCTTATCGCCCTTCCCCTCCCCCTGCTCCGTCATCCTCCTCCCAGCTCGCCCGAATCGGATTTTCCGCTCGCATGTGTGTGTTCCCGCCCTATGTCTGCTCCTGTAATGTAATGTAATGGATCGTCTCGTCTTGCCTCGTAGTGTTTTGTCTTGTTTCGTATTGTATTGTAGTGCCCTTTATTTGTCTTGTATTGGCTTGTCTTGTCTTGTCGTGTCTAGTCTTGTCTTGTCTTGTCGTGTCTTGCCGTGCCCTCTCCGTCGGTCTGGCCTCCCCTCCCTGCTGCTGTTGTTGCTCCCCCCGTCTGGATCAGAGGATATCGAACTCGTCGCCACCTGGCTCTGCACGCCGCCAGGACGCGTCAGCCACCGCCACTGTCGCTGCCGCCGTCACCCGAGTCGGTGGCCCTGACGAGGGAACGACTGGCAGTGCCGAAAAGCGCCCAGGAGTCCAGCAAAGAATGAGTGTAAACCCGACTTGTCTGGCTGATGCTCGGGGGGGGGGGGGCTATGCTGAGGGCAGGCTGCAGCACCGCTCAATGATGTGCTGTCAACCAAACCTGCAGGGTGGGCCCTTTAAACTTCTCTGTGCGCTTCAGCTTTGGCTTCGGCTTCGGCTGCCGATGCACCGTGAAGCGCCGTCGGGCCAGCTCACCCGAGTCGGATGTCCCGCTCGCACGAGTGCTCCCCCCCCTCCTCCCAGGCCGAGCTCCCAGGCCCTCTGGCGACCACACGGATCGACCGCTGAGAGCAGCACGAGTGCGTCCAGCTCACGAAGTGCGGCCCGACCAGGTAGGAGCCGCGCTGCGGGCGGGAAGGCAGGAGAGAGGAGGAGGATGGAGGATGAGGAAGACGAGGGGGGGAAAAGCAGGAGGAAGGAGGAGGAGGAGGAGGAGAAAGGAGGAGAAATGAGGACAGAGGAGGAGAGAGGAGGAGGAGGAAGAGGAGGAGGAGGAGGAGGAAGAGGAGGAGGAGGCAGCGAATGACGAGGACGAGAGGGAGGTGGCGATGGAGGAGGCGGGCGAAGGGCAACTGTTCCTGAGCAGCTACCCCGACCGAGCGCCCGATGGAACGGGAACGCTAAGAGTCGGGGAGGGGAGGAGGAGGAGGAGGAGGAGGACGAGGAGGAGGCGGAGGAGGAGGAGGAGGAGGGGGAGGAGAGGAGGAGTAGGAGGAGGAGGACGAGGAGGAGGAGTAGGAGGAGTAGGAGGAGGAGGAGGAGGAGGAGGAGGAGGGGGCGGAAAAGGAGGAGGAGAAGGACAGGGAGGAGGAGGAGCAGGAGGAGGGGAGGCAAGAGGAGGTAGGAGGAGGCAGGAGGAAAGCGAGTCGAAACCGCAGGATATGGCACATGTATGACGCAAGAGCTTCATTGAAATGGGGGAAACGGAGCATGTGTTCTCCTCGTAACCCGTCCGCACGTGCTGCGCACATTCATGTCGGCCGCTCGTGACCTGAGCCGCACGGCCGCAGCGCATGCAAACATCCTGCTAACCCCAGATAGGTTCAGAAATGGTGCAGGCGCCACCCGTGTGCGCAAGAATTTGGCTAAAGGGCAAGCGGAACTGTTGTCGTATGAAGCCTGTGCGAAGTTCGAGGTCTCAGAGTCTTTGCGCGCGCAGCTCCCAGGTCACGATGGCTCGAGAAGCAGCGCGAAGTGAGCCAATTATGCAGCCGTTCACGAGGGTCCAGGAAGATCGCCACAAGCCCCAAGATACGAACACCCAGGGAGGAGGGAAAAAGGGGAGAGAGAGAGAGAGGAGGGAGGATGAGAAGGACTGAAACCCAAGAGTCATCAACGATGTTGGAATAAACCCTCCCTCCAAGCTCCTTCTTCATAGGCCCCTTCAAGGGTTCATTTCCACTGAGGGACCTGCTTCGTTGGAAGACAACCGTTTGAAGACCCTGACGCATGCCAAAATATCGTTCTCGGGATTCCAACGCCACGGATCAACCTGATTGTTGCGTCTTGACGATCCTGAATCGCACCAGAACGCCATTCTTGGGACTTCAACGCCGCGAATCAACGTAACTGTTGCGACCTCATAATCCGGAATCATTCCAGAACACCATGTGTGGTTCGCTGATCAGGAGAATCCGTGAAACTCTTGCAAATGTTTAAAACGAATGTGCGCGGCGCTAACGCGAGAGCCACATGTTGAAAAGGAACCGCCCTCAATCCGTGAAACTCTTCCAATGTTTGAAAACAAATGTGCGCGGCGCTAACGCGAGAGCCACATGTTGAAAACGGCCCGCCCTCGATCCGCTAAACTCTTGTAATTTCGTAAAATGAATGCGCGCGGCGCAAAGGCGAGAGCCACGTTTTGGAAACCACCCGCCCTCAATGTGTGAAACTGTTGTCAATTTTGAGCTTCAGGGTCAGAAATGGTGAGGAAGTCTCAGGCGAAACGCCCGGACCGCCCAAAAAACTTGCTTCGGGGTGCGACACGGAGAAGTTATCTATAAGGAAAAGGAAAGGAGGAGGAGGAGGAGGAGGAGGAGGAGGAGGAGGAGGAGAAGAGGAGAGGAGGAGGAGGAGGAGGAGGAGGAGGAGGAGAAGGAGAAGGAGAAGGAGAAGGAGGACGAGGAGAAGGAGAAGGAGGAGGAGGAGGAGGAGGAAGAGGAGGAGGAGGAAGAGAGGGAGGAGGGGAAGACAATGACGACCAAGGGTCCAGGAAAGGGGCTGGAGGCGGAGGAGGCGAAAGCAGAGAAACTGGAGCAGCACGGGCTCGGGAATACTCGGGGCCAAGGGACGGGAGCCCTGGCATGGGCAGCCCGCAGGCCCGAAGGTGGCCCCACGAGCGCCCCCCGACGGCTGCACGGCCCCCCGCCCAGCGGCGGCTCCGAGCGGGCCCGAAGGCGCCAGGCGGAAGCCCATGCGACGGAGACCTCGAGACGAAGATCTCCAAACCGTTTTCGTCGCAGCGCGGCAGAAGCTGTCCGCACGCGCGCTCCAGTGAGCCGGGCTCGGGCACGCACTCGCTGTCCAGCGGCAGGAGGGGGGAGCCGAGGCGGAGCGCGGCCGCGGAGGGCGGGCAAAACGAGGGAGGGCACTCACAGCGCGAAGAACTTCGAGCGGAGTGGCCGGGCCGGCCAGCCTGCGCTGAAGCAGTCTGGCAGTGGGCGCGGGGCGGCATCGCAGCCTCACCCAGGGGCTGTGGCACAGGCTGCCGGCGCAGAGATCCCCACACACGCGTGGTCGTCGACGCGCCAACGCACCGGGAAGACTTTTTCGTCGGCGGCGAGGCAGAGGCAGTCCGCTCCAACGCGTGGCATGTCGGGGCAACCGAAAGGCTCATTGGCCGGCGTGCAAGAGGGGGGGAGAAAGACAAGAGCGGCCCCACGCGGGCAGAGGGAGGACAAAGCGCTCAGACGTGGAAGAGTTCCGCGTCGAGCGGGCCAGGGTAGCCGACCGAGGCAGCACGCACTGGGAAGAGACACGCGGCTTTCCCGTCGACGCGTCGATGGGCACCGGCCGACGGTAAACAGTAGGCGGGCCCCGCACGGACTGCCTGAGCCCCTTTGTAAGGCAGCGTGGCAGTAGGTAGACACACGAACACACACACACACACACACACACAGACATACACACACACACACACACTGCTCCTCCTTCCTCCTCTTCCTCCTCCTCTTTCCTCCTTCTCCTCCACCTCCTCATCATCCTCCCTGTCATCCTCCTCCTCCTCCTCCTCCTCTCTCCTCCTCCTTCTCCCTCCTCCTCCTCCTCCTCCTCCTCCTCCCTCCTCCTCCTCCTCCTCCTCCTCCTCCTCCTCCTCCTCATCATCATCATCATCATCATCATCAGGCCCCTGCCCCTGCCCTCGCTCCTCATGTCATCCACCCGTCCTTCTTGTCATCCTGCCCTTCGTGCGTCAGCAGAAGACACGTATCCGTGAGTACATATTGTCTCAAGACACCGACCGCAAACTCCAAAATCATGTTGCATCGTGTGATTACGAACTTCTCCATTTCGCTCCGTGACATACAAAAGTGACGTGCACTTGCGCAGCCAGCCCAGCAATGATAGCGCGAACTGCCACTTTCCCTCTTTCTCACAGACGTTGATTCCAATACTACAGCTGATGACGTCTGGCTCCATGCTTGTTTCGCTCAACTCCCGCAGCAGTAAAAAAACCTGCTGCCACTGCCCGCTCGTCTTGCAGGCAGTCATTCCAGCATTGTAGCTGATTGGGTTTGGCTCCAGTTTCGCTTCACACAACTCTCTTAGCAACGACAACGCCTCCTGCCACTTCAAGCCTTTCTCGCACGCAGCAATACCGACATTGTAACAGATGGCGTCCAGCTCAAGCGCCTCTGCCAGCAACTCGCTCATCAGCGTCATCGCCTGCTGCCACTGCTCAGCCTTCTCGCACGCACTGACCGCAGCACTATAACCAACCACGCACGGCTTTATCCTTACCTGCGCCATTTCCCTCAGCAGCAATGACGCCCGCTGCCACTGCTCAGCCTTCTCGCACGCACTGATTCCAGCGCAGTAGCTGATGCTGGTCGGTTCGAATTCTACTTCCCGCAATTCCATCAGCAGCGATAGTGCTTGGCGCCACTGCCCGCCCTGTCCGCACGCACTGATTCCGGCGTTGTAACTTATTACCGTGGGACCGATCTTCGCTTCACGCAACTCCCCTGGTAATGCGCACAACTCCCTGAGCAAAGCCAGCGCATGCTGCCACTGTCCACCCACCCCGCACGCACTGATGCCAGCGTTGTAGGTGATTGCACCAGGCTCCAGCTTCGAGTGACATACCTCGCCCACGAGCAACAGAGCCTGCTGCCACTCTCCGCCCTTCTCGCATGCGCTGATTCCGGCACTGTAGCTGACGACGTCCAGCTCGATGCTGCTATCCCTGACCTCCCGCAGCAAACGCAGCGCCTGCTGCCACTCCCCGCCTTTCTCGCACGCGCTGATTCCAGCACTGTAGCTCACGATGTCCAGCTTCAAACCCTCATCCCACAACTCCCTCAGCAGAAGTACTGCCTGCTGCCACTGCCCACTTTTCTCACATGCGCTGATTCCAACGCTGAAGGAGACATAGTGTGAGCCTATGGACTACCATACACTTTCGCTCTCTGGTCGCTGATTCCCAGTCTGCGAATGCTCGAGAGAAAGATGATGCTGAGCCACAAACACACACGTTGGACTGGGAAGTACGGTTCACGTGGAGCTGCCCGCTTCAGAATTACGGGGATCCTGCCGGAGGAAGTGCGGTGGTGCGCGCCAGGATGCCAAAATCGTTTACCCCTCCTCCTAACTGCTAAATCCAGGGTGTTGGACTTTCCTCCTCCCCGCGAGACAGATAGAGAGAGAGGGAGAAAGGAAGAGACGTAAAGAGGAGAAAATGAGAGACAGAGAGAGGGGGGGAGAGAGAGAGAGAGAGAAAAAAAGAGAGAGAGAGAGAGAGAGACGGAGAGACAGAGAGGCAAAAAGACAGAGACGAAGGAGGAGCGGGAAGGAGAGGGAGGGAGAGCAAGGGGGAGGACATACATACATCCAGATTGAGAGAGAGAGAGACACCAAGATTTCCATGATGTACATAGGTCCACATACTAGAATAATCGCTCGCGCTTCGCACGCGCTCAGGTTCTAGCGCAGGCCAGGGGGGCGCTGGAGAAGCTTGGACAACGCTATCATGCAGAAGCACGTGCCGTCGTCGTGCCCATCCTCCTTCCATCCTCACCCTAGTACTCCTCCTCATGATCCTGCTCATCGTCATCACACGAAT